CGTACATGTTGTGCTCAGGCGTGTCGAATTGCGCGGCGTGGCGACGCCGTCAGTTGTCGCAGTGGTGGAGATCGAGGGGCGGCACGGAGATCGTATGGTCACCGAGGGCGCGCTGATGCCTTCGCCCGCGCTCCGATTTCGGGCTACATTCCCGCATCGTTGTCTCGTCGCCTCCTCATCCTTGCATTCCTCTCCTTCAACCATCGCTTGTACTCCGCGCCGGTTCGCTCACCGACCGTCCTCGGTTCGTCCCGGCTCCTGCGTACTCCTGGGGTGCGTCTGGAGAGCGCACGCAGGGTAGTGATGGACGTGTGCGTGCGGTGTGGCGTGCGTTGCGGGGGGACGACGGACACCGGACGCGAGAGTTGGCCGTATTCCGGCCCTGAGATGGGCATCCGCCGCGCGAAGAGCGTGCAAACCGGTGTCTGCACGGTGTTCTGTTACTGACGAGAGGTGCTAGACGACCGTAGTTGGTGATAAGAATGAAGCGGTCATGATGTGCGTGACAACGTACCGTGCAAAGCGTCGTGCCGCGCCACGTCCGGTGCACAAAATCGTGTCGAACGGGCTGGTAGATGATGGTACGAGACTTGAGTACCGGTGTAGTACAGAACGGGGATGTTGTGTGACGTCGCCGAGGCGGGACATGGCTGCCTTCAGGTGACTTGACTGGGTGGCACAGAACACCTCGCCGCGCCATGTCCGGTGCGCGAATCGGTCTCGAGCTGCCTGGTATGGCTTTGCACAAGAGTTGGGTGCGCAGGCCGTGCAGAACGGCAGTGTGTCGTGACGTCGGCGAGGCGGGATATGGCTGGCTTCGGGCGACTTGGCTGGGTGGCACAGAAAACCTCGCCGCGCCGTGTCCGGTGCACGAAACGACGCCGGGCGGGCTGGTATAGCATTGTGAGAGTCTTGAGTACCCGCGCAGTGCCAAACGGCGATGGTCCGCGACATCAGCGAGGCGGGATATGGCTGGCTTCGGGCGACTTGGCTGGGCGGTACAGAATGCCGCGCTGCGCCATGTCCGGTGCGCGAATTGGTCTCGAGCTGCCTTGTATAGCTTTGCGCAAGAGTTGGGTACGCACACCGTGCAGAACGGCGGTAAGTCGCGACGTCGGCGAGGCGGGATATGGCTGGCTTCGGGCGACTTGGCTGGGCCGCAGAGAACACGGCGCCGCGCGGCGTCCCGCGCACGGAATGCCTTCGGACAAGTTGCAGAACGTCCACGCATGTCCTGTTGATCGTCCCATGTCGTTGCTAGGACGCTCCGATACGCGACGGATGGACCCGAGGGCGGAAGTGGGTCGGGGCGGAGACTGTGACAGCGTGTTTGTGTCGATGAATGCGCGCGAAGAGGTGCTGAAAACGTAAATGCGACATGCCTGGACCGTTTATGCACCAAACGCACGGCTCATGGGTGTCGGCGGACTCGTCTCGGGCGCGGGCGTCGACTGGTACCGGCGGCGGGGGCGGGCGAGCAGCGGGGAGGGAAGAACGGCGGCGAGAGCGGGGAACAGAGCAGAGACGAGACCGCGGAACGGGCAGTGGATGCGTGCGTCGAGGGCGGAGCATGGGTGCACTGGAAGAGGTCGACTGGAGGCGACGACGGGCAAAAGGCGCGATCGACGCAGCGTCGACGCGGCGGCTGCAGCCAATGAGCGGTCTGAGCGAGCGCCTCCGGCGGCCCATGACGCCGCAGCCTGGCCACGCGTCGCGTCCCAGCCCGAGGGCGTTGACGAAGCGGGGCGAGAACAGGTAAGTAGCCAGATCAGGCCTTCAGAAGGAGGAGGTATGTAGCCACCGGCCGCTGCAGTCGCACGCGCGATCATGGGCGGCCCTGGCATTGGGCGTCTAGACGGTGACAGCGTTGCCTCTTTTGGATATGTACTCGAGCGTCTAACCAGTAATCGTTCGGAATTAGTGTGACAATCAGCGACTTCGTGCGATATCCTGCTCGTAGGGATCATGACATCCTGCTCGTAGGGATTATGACCTTCTTATGTTTCGACTCACGGTTCTTGAATGGCAGTTATGCACTAGGCTGTTTGAGCACCACACGTGCTTGGCCAGGCCCGGGGTGTGCATGAAATGTGCGTGTTGTTCTGCTTCAAGTTCACTGCCTCGACCACTATCCTTCACCTCCGTCACTATCTGCTCATACATGTGCTCTTATGCAGGTCCTTCGACGTTATGTGGCCTGGCATTGCCTCCTCATCCAGGGAATCCAGCATGGCGATTGCTGTGTCATTCAGGATATGTACCGATTTCAAGGCTGACCGTCTCGTTAGACTGCGGCGCACGTCTTCGCGCCAGCATCGTAATTGAGCATGGCGTCACGCTAGCCAGATACACGAGTCCAGCTTGCCTCACCCTCCCTTTTCCGCCGAGCATCGTGGCGCGGCTCGGTACTTAAGCCTCCTCCCGAGCCCTGGCAAGGTTCGAGGCATCTGGAACTCTCTTACTCTCTTTGCTATCTCAGGGCGCCCGCAGGACGGCTCTCGACGTCGAGCGAGATGCTCAGCGCACTTTACCGCATGCTGCAGGCCAGCCCTGCTCCCGATCCCGGACAAGACCGCGCGTCGGCGGACAGTGCCAGAGAAGACACGAATGGCGAGGCGCGTGCGGCGACCAGTGCAGATGATTCTGGTCTCGGGCTGGAGACGATGCGTCTAGAGCGAAGACCGTCCGTCGATGCTAGCGCAGTGATGGACGCTAGGCGACGCGCCCCTTCCCATGTTTCGTGGAAGACACCCAACGTGAATCCGAGTCCCAGTCCCATCTCTGATTCCGTATGGAGTTCGCAGTATGAGAGTCATTCTGCGTCGGCACCATCATTACTGCTGCTGAATCCCGGGTCAGCGACAAAGGCAGCGTCGATTCATCGACACAGTTCGCAGTCCTTGCGCACCCCGTCCATCACAGCCTCAGAAGACTTGTCGAGGCGGAACAGCCCGGAAAAGAGGGAGAACGTCGAACTCTATCCTCCGAGGCATCTCCCAGTGATTGATCCACGTGTGCGGTTCCCCAGCGGAAGGAGGCCGTCGACGGACTCAGTGCCCCCTACGCCGGAATCCACCAGGGTGCATGACGGACGTGAGTCGATAGGACACCTCTTCCATACATCTATCGTTGACGATGCGCTACAGACCTCGCTGCATATCCAGGAGCGTTCATCAATCGGCCCCTCAATCGTACTACCAGCCAAACGTCGACAAGCACGACCGCCTCTGTGCCCGCTATCCCGCCTCTGGACCTCCGGCCCGACTTCCAAAAGACTATCGGTCCGCCCATTCGCAAGTCGCGTCTCCCGCCGCCGACGCTGCCCACCGTCGTAGGCAGTCCTCATCCGGGAAAGTACTCCGTCATATACGAGGACGGCTCCTCTGCGCGAACCTCGCGAAGCTTCGTCACCGCACCCTCCGTGCATTCTGTTCGCGACGTGTCCACGCCCGAGCCTGGTGGCGACGCACAGCATGCAGAGGAACGCCCAGTGCACGCACGGGATTATGCTATTTCCACCACGTCGAGCGTCGACGTCACGCCTGCAGTGCGGACGAGCGGCCTCCCAGAGGGGCTGTACGACATTGACCTGGGCGAGCCCTCGCACGCCGGAACCAGTACACACGCCGGGAGCACCAGCACGAGTCCGCGGCTCACACAGCCTCTCCTGCCCGCACCTCCCAGCGCCATCCCGCGCCGCCCGCGCTCCATCTCCTCGGGTGGCTCTCGCTCTGAGAGCTACATCTACAACCGCTGGCTCAGGGGCGTCTCCTTCGGGAGTGGCAACTACGAGTTCCACACCCCCCGTGCGTTCTCGCGCAGCCAGAGCCGATCGTACCTCGCAGGGCGGGCGGGGATGACGAGCGCAAGCATCCTTTTCTGGCTGGGCTTCATCGGACCGTGGTGTTGGCTCATCGGCGGGTGGATGCTCACCACGGAAGGCGAACTCGAGCCCGAGTTCAAGCGTGAGATGGACATCAAGCACGGTGCGGACGCGATCTTGCCCCAGTGGTTCAGGCATGGCAAGAAGCGTGCGAGGGTGGAGACTTCCTCGTGGCGATTGACTGGCTCGCGGGCGTCGAGTTTGCGGAGGCGATACCCGAGCGGGAGGCTGCTGAGGTGGGATCGGGCGTGGCGACAACAGGCGCTGGAAGGGTACGACGACCGAGGAGAAACTGTGAGTAAGGCCTCTCTCTAGGTTTATAAAGCGCTGGCAGGCCTCTCTCTAGGTGTAGAAAGCGCTGGCAGGCCTGTTTCTTGGTATACAGGGCACTTGCAGGGCTCTGCGTACACGAGAGCGTGCGGGTTCCATTCGCACTCGAGGCACGGGGATCCGTTCAAGCCCAAGGTGCGTCGTTACTCGTATATAGCTACAGTACACCAATGAAACCCGTTCGTCTACGAGCGCTCTCCACAGCGGCGAGCGTTCGAGATCATCTCACACAGCTGCTGTCATTCCCGCCGTCCTACGCCTCTCGCTATCTCGTCCAGTCACGGAACGGCTGTCTGGACCCTTCACCAAGTGCGGTGTTCCGTTGGGGGCTACGTGCCCAAGAAGATCGCGCGCAAATGTGTAACATCGCACCTACGAGCCTGCGGTCCCGTCAGCAAAGAGTGCACGAGGCAGACGCGAGCTCACCTTCAAGCAGCCGCCGAACGGTCCACGTCCGCACGTATCGCTCCGTTTCCTCCGTAGACGTTCCTGTACATCACGACCGTCTCCGCGTAACGCGCCGCTTGATGCACGATGCTGCGCTTCTCCTCGTAACGTTGAATATCACTTGTTGAACCTGCATGACCACTCTCGTCAGCAGCCAATCCAAGAAGGACTCAAGACTCACCTGTCGCCGCATTCAGAGCAACTGCCAATCGAGACGTCCCAGTCTCGCCCGCACGCGCCCATCTCGAGCTTCACATCCTATTGGGCCACCTGTCACGCCTCCACCGCCGCCCGTCCGCGTGCCCCGCAAGGTGGCCAAAGTGACCTTCGCAAGTCACTCTTACTTGTAATCAAGCCAGCGTGCACCCGCTCGCGCCTGAGCTGCGTCTGTAGCTTGATAAGCAATCAACGTCCTACTGAATAATCGCAGACTTACCGAACCGCCGCGACTCTCTGCAGATGCCGCTCGACCCGCCTTCTTCTCGCTGGCCATCACTGTTGTGCATCCCATCTGTGAGGCTTCCTGTCCGTATTGTGTCTCGGGCGGCATCGGACACAACCATCGCTATCCGAATGTTGTTGATACATGTCGTCGTTGCGTTCTCGATGGGCACCACCACCTATTCGTCAAGTCAGTAACTGAGCTACCAAAGGGAGACAAGGACCGACCTCCGGACTCGGAGCGGCTATTGCGGCGACGCGTGTCCCGCCGTCGAATAGTGACAAGCGGTCAGCTGTCACGGTCTACAAGTTGCTGAGACCGACCTCAACCAACGCGGGACTTCGGATGGCCAGTCCACAGACCGAATACTGCACACAACCACGTAGTAAGCTACACGCCCTTTTTCATACGCATGCAGTGCTTACCGATCCGCGTGTCGGCAGTGATTTTCTGTGAAGACGAGCGGGGCAGTCCTGTCATGTGGTTGCAAACCCGCTCTAAGCTCTTGACAGGCGATCTGTGACTTGAGCGCGTGTTCGAGCGTGACGTCTCGATCCAGTTTGTGTGCGTTGAAGAAGCGGCCATCCAGTTGGGAGCGCGCTCCGCGTCTTACAGCCTGAGTACGTTCTCTGCTTGCCTGCGCAATGAATAACTGCGAAGGTTGAGAGATGCTTTGCTGATGATTTCATCAACAGAGGTTACTTCGCTGCACTACTCGAGTACGTACCTCGCTGTCACAGCTCTGCTGACACGAGCCCTCTCAGGTTCGATGTCCGACGCGCCGGCACCATCAAGCTCTCCCTTGGACCAAGCTTTCCGTCGCTGTCTTCTACCAGACAACGGCTGGATACCGCGCGGCACAGACCGCCTTCGGTTCCGGTCGTGATTGAACGTATCGCGGTGGCTTGAACCAAGCTTTTTGAAATCAATTCAACGGAACTGCTAGAGTTAATGGGGACAGAAACGGTTGGGAACCACAACAAAAAGGACACACCAATGTCTTGAATATGAACGAGCTCTTCGTTCCAGTTGGATCTACCAGATTTAGATAGTTTCTCTTCAAGGCTCGGACTTCATGTGTGAGCACTGTTCTCACACCTCACGCCCTTAAACCTCGTGACGTCTCTCCGATGCACACCAGTACTGACTGTCTGCGTGCACTGACGAGCCAGCAGATAAGTGTTCTACAACCTCAGTAAGATATACTAGTACTCACTGTGTATGAACAGTTGCATCGACGAGGAGGAGGTTGAACAAATGGGTCGTGGCGTAGGTCAGTAGGGTGAGTGTCAAGACTTAGAGGCTGTACACCGGCAATCACAGAATACACAGATTCAGGACTTACCTAATGACCATGCAGTGTACGTTGCTACTCAATCACAACTGATCGGTTGTCTTCGGTGAATTAGCAATACGTTCAGAACTCCGACCCTGGACGGGTCCATGATCACACTGACTCAGAGAATCTGATCTAAACGAGTAGCCGAGGCTTTGAATTGTATCCAACAAGACCGGCTTGTTGATGCGCGCACTGTCATCTCATTCCAAATCTGGCAGTTCCTCATGTGTCAGCTTCGCTTTCAACTGTGGTCCGGGAGCCACGTCCCAGACTGTAGTGCTCATGGTTCTTGACACAGCCCCTCCAGATTGTCCTATGGACAGCAGACTGTACAGTATTGGGGACATCCTCCATACTATGCAATCTCCTGTTCACAAGCCAAGCCGCCAGGACAACTGATTTCGTAAAGACAGAACCAGTACAATCTCAGATCACACTAGAACAAGTCAACAGAATCCATCAAGAACATTGCTACGTACAACTACCACGGTGTACCCTCACCGCAATGGTCCGCGCCTCGGCTTTCCTATTCGCCGATGAGTCGTCGCTCAAGTTCACTATGATACATATTCGCCAGGATACATACTCCGAGGATCTCCGCAAGGAACAGATCCTGCTGCTCAAACGCGTCAGTGCATGCCGCCGGGGGACAGCGAATTCGGATAGGTTTCCGAGGGAACCTACTAGGTTAGGTCAGCGCGCGAGGCCCCAGTGCTGTGATTGGACATAGTACTAAGAGCCACCTTTCAATTCGCCGTTCCGGCAGTGTATTGGCCACCACTTACAAGCCCAGAACTGTTGACTATTGCCCAATGCCACAGCATTGATCCCTCGCAGGACGAGACAGCTGACGAGGGAGATGACGAAGTCTAGGAAACAGTACGGCGCGACGAAGGCTGGCAGCGCGCTGTCAAGCCCGCACGGAGGAGGCCTCGTGATGCTGTCCAAATCGGGCAGCCGGACACCTTGTGGCGTGCAGTGGCGAGTGACCGCGTTCGCGCGTTGCCCCGAACATCCATCCTCCGCTGCCAATCCCCGCTGCCTCGACGCGTCGCGACACAATATGACATTCAGAAAACACGAAGACATAAGAAAACTACTAGTTGTCAAATCCGGACGCGCTCTCGATGTCCGACACGCCGCCGCCACCGCCGTCAACCTCCGCTTCACCGTCCTCGATGTCCTCGACCTCCGTCTCGTACGCATCAGAGTCGTCGACATATGGCTTGCTTTTAGGACCCATGCGGATCTGTCTTGGCGGCCTGGAGAGCCGAAGCCAGGGAAGCACGCGCTGCTTGCCGTAGTCGCTCCTCGTAGCACGGCGCGGGCGCGGAACATACCACCCGGGAGCAGCTTTCTCGACGGTGAGCACGTCGCGTTCTTCACGCGAGAGTCGATCAAAGTGCATAAAACCGCACTGGATGCGACCGCACAGCTGTCGCATAGTGCGAATCCCGCCTGGGACGCGACTGAGATTGGCGAAGGTAAGGTGCTGCGGCCAACCTTCAAGGCGGACACCGTACTTGGTGGCAACGAAGGTGAAAAAATCCTCCGCGTTCCAGCGCATTCGCGCGACTTGGTCGCCGGTGAAAAACTCTGGATTGGTGCGTCAGTCAGACTAGTCCATGATCGGGTATGAGAGTCTGCAGTACATACGCAGTCTCTCTGTCAACAGTCGGCGTACTTCCCCTCTCTCCTTCGCGAGGCGCGAGCTGTAGGTCACCTTGGGGCTCGCCAGGGGCTTGTGCTTGATCACGAGAATGGGCCGGAGAGGTCGCCGCCGATGGCGGGGTGACTGGGTGAGTAATTTGTGCGTGAGCATGAGGGTGTTCGCGGCGGTCGCTGTGGGGGAGGTACTGCTGCGACGGCGGATGCAGGATTGGCGAGCAGAATAAGGTATACATCTATATGTATCCTGTGAATGCTCAATGCCCGAGATTGAACGGCTTCGAGAGCTGAACCAGTCAGCAGACCAATACCATGCCGACGGTCTGTGCTGCTCGTTTCAGAGCAGTTCGCCGCTACTACGTAACATCGACGCGACGGTCCGGGGCGCTGGATGCAGCGTACCTGCACGGCGTTTTGCTATTTTCAACATCAAATGAGTGGCCCTTGACTTCGCAGCAGACGGCAGATGCTCAACTAAGCCTAGCGCAGCTCCGTAGGCCCATCGCGGCTTGGTCCTCGGCTCAACAACCCTGCAGATTATGCGACGCTCTCACCGGTGTGTGCGTATCACTCAATAGGTGTGCCCGCTGTCAGTAACGTCCTGGAATCGCACTTACGGCACGCGTAGCGGCTACGGTGGCACATCACTACCGTCCGACAAAACCGCGCTGTACCTGCGCGAAGCAAATTAGGCGGGTCTGCCGCCAGAAGACACCAATGCGGCAAGCCATCTCCCTGCCGCTCTCCCGAGTCGTCTGCGTGCTGACGGATGCTGACATGCGACCAAATAGCGACGGTTTAGGTGCCCCATGACATCTGCTCGCCCGAGCAGATACAAGTTCCAAGCTTCCTAGGTCCTTAAGAGTTCTAATAAGTAAAATCCCAGGCAGCAGCAATAATTATAGGGTACGTCGCTTCACTTCTCGGGGTCCTTAGATCTGCCGACGCATGGTCGACTTGGAGTGTCATTGCGGGGCGGCACGAGAAGTAGCGTCGTCGCGATTCTATCCAGTACAGACGCATTACAGGCAATGTTATCGTCTGCTTACAATCACAAGTGGGGAGTGTGCTCATCATCGCGAGCCCGGAACGTGTGGTGCAGTCATGTCATAGTAAGAATGCGATCCAGGCGGCCTCAAAGTCCACCAAGCTAGTCCGCTCATGTGATTGGTATGTGGCTCCTAACATATTCACCGGTCATATCTCACGATCTCAGGATGTATTGAGCGGCTTGTCATCGCCCGTCTCCGGGACGCATCAGTCACGTCCGGTACAGCAACAATCAAGAACGCATAGCCCGCCGCTTGGCTCGGCAGTCGTCTTGGGATGTCAGCGAACTTGAAGAGTCGCGTCTGTCTGTTCAATGTGTGTCTGGTATGTACGAGGCCGCGGTGACGTGCAACGGGCTGCGGGTTGCTGATAGTGACCACGGAGAAACTAGGCACTCCATGTCATGTGCGTTGCAAGGGGCGCGGGCGGCCATGATCCGTGCTCTCAAACTCCACCGTGATGCTTGCATGTCGGTAGGGCCTCGGAAAGCTCAGCGGCGCGGATTCGACGTACCCGTCACTGGGTGGCCGTTGTACTTCGAGGTCGACAGCAGCGAGAGCGGCGTGGCACACTGTACACTACGCCCACAGCGTTAAGCGTCTGACCGGTTACCGGCAAGTGGCCCAAGACACCGGCTGCGGTGTCGCGAATGCAATTCGGTCAGAATGCCTGTTGTACGGGAAATGATACTGTAGTCAGCCTGAGCATGAGCGCAAATGCGGACCAGTAGTAACTGCGAATTGAATATGCGACATTGGGAATGTGCGGAGAACGCGTTCGGGTACTCACAGATGATATTACAGTGTCGGAGAACGGGCTATCGAGGTCGCTGGCTGCTTCTCTCGGAGAGTGTACTTGGTCATCACCGCAGGACATTGAGACAATCCAAATGATGTCGGAGATGTACTATCAATCACGATTGTCCACTCCAGAATGGCCGAGGTACGAGCAGAGAATAAGTTGCAATTGTCGAATTACAATGGTATGTTCAATACTAGTGCCTTGGTATTTCGCGAGGCAGAACGGTTCCAATAAAGATCACGACGCGATCCGAATCAGCGAACTTCAAACTATAACCGGTTTGTATGTCAGATACTGTAGTGACTATCTTCGGCAACACAACTAAGACCAAGTACTGTAATAATGATAGAGTTAATGGGGACAGAAGGGTTGGAACTGGCGAGCGAGCTGCCTGAGCTCAAGAGCGATGTCGAGAACGCTGCCCATCGGGTAATGGCAGTGGGGCGAGCGTGAGCGGCACTGTAGTCTCCGCGTAGCCTGAGTGAGCGAGACTGGTAACAAACGGGCTTGTTTGGGATGTCGTACAACGGCGTAATGTTGGTTCAACCCCGAATCTAAGCCGGTCTATAAAGACACTGCCAGTACTTGTAGCTGGACTACCGGTGTGCGTACAGCAGCTCCGAAACACTACCACGCCGTGCTGCCTCGTTCACATAGCATAAGCATGCCAGTGGAAGACATGCTCGTCTTCGTTCGCAGACAGACCTACCAGTCCAGACTGACTTCGCTGCGACGGTGACTAGTAGTTCGCACCGCTCGGCATTGGCTTACGACGGTAGCAAAGTGAATATATTTCGTCCCCGGCAGTAACGTACATTTGTTCGGGAACATACCATACCTTGCCCAGCGAACCGGCTTGAACAGACAGGTTCAACAGACGCGAAGCTGAAAGACGTCAGACGTAAGATGCGGCTGGCGACCTCGCTGCACGTCGAGGGACGGCGCGCACTGCAACCGTACCCGGTGTTGCTTCCGTCGTCTCCTGGCCTGTTTGTCTGCTTGTCTGATCCCTCGGCCTGTCCGTCCGTTCAGAACGCACGACGTCCAGGTACTACCTGGTCGACGGTGCGCGCCGCATTCTTCACTGGGAAACACGCGAGCACACTGTGATGTACCTGCTCGCGCACCGATGAGTCAGTCTCATCCTTCGCCGGATAGCCTGCTCTACCAATCCTCGGGCCCCTGGTCGATCCACGACGCCCGCGCGACGAGACACGACGCGACTCTCACCGCAGGCAAGATGTCGCGATGCTCGTTGTTGCCGTAGGTTGCGCCGCTCTCATGCACATACATCCCTGCCGTCTGCAGCGATAACCAGGTCGCCGACGATGAGTTCTCCAGAAGCGAGCTTGACCGCTGCTTTTTCGGGCTTGACGTAGCGAGATCGTCTGTCAATCAAACGGCACCTCGCCTGCCCGGTACTGGACCCCCGCCCGCTAACGCGACATGGTTCGAAAGTCTTCACGCACCAATGCGCATTCGGCGTGTTGTGCGAGGTACTCGCAGTGCATTGGGCTCCGCCAGCGGCTCGCGACGACCTCACTCTGCCTCGGCCGCGACAACTGCGGCAACGTAGGCAGCGACTTGCACAACCTGGTCGCGCATTGCGGCCTCGTCCTGAATGTGCGCATCACCGTCTGCACATCGGGACGTGCCGCCGCCGTTGTTTCACGAGTCATCCCTTGTCATCGCGCTTTGAGTGTGGAAATTACGGCTTCCGGTTGCGTGCCAATTCGCAGCCGATCGTGAGTCTCCATGTACGCAAGTAGCTCTACCCGCCCATCAGACGTAGATGAGCCTATACGTGGACGCGCAATTTGGCGTCCCCCAAACCGCGCGGAACATCCCGCCGAATGTAGACGCTACAGGCTCGACACTGCGCGCCGAGAGACAGCTCTGCGAGCCCCATCTCGACGTGCAAGGCCCAGTCCAACTCATCTGGCCTGTGCGCGCGGTCCGTGCAGAATGGCGAGGGCCGATTGAATGTCACGCAGGCCGCCCGCACAGATCGCGATTAACACGCACGACGCACCGCTGTGTCGGGTGATCGAATCGCAAGCTGTGCGGGCTGCCGTCATGTCGCGCGGCGTGGCAACTTCGACGAGCGCCGCGCACGGACGTCCTGTCGATTAGCGATCCCCGCGCTATGCGAGGGTTGCCAGGGCGGGTATGGGTTGCAACAGTCATGTTGTATCCGTCGACACGACACGACGCGGCTCGTGCGCGGTCGATGGAACGGCTTCGTGGGATCCCGGGCGAAGGACGAGGATAAAAGGGGAGGCCGTGGATGGGCCACTGCAGCTCGACCTGCGTCTTCGTCCCGTCTTGTGCATCGTGAATCCGCCCTACGACGGTAAGTGGGAGCCCGCTTCGTCGCACGACGTGTATTGCTGACACGTTCGCTCTCGAAATGTTGAAGTCGCCGAAGGGCGCGTGCACAACGCGTGGGGAGACGCGACGTGTCGCTCGTCAGCGTAAGTGTCGTCGCGACGCGAATGCAGAATACGTACCGGTTGGCTCCCCGACGTGCCGTACGCGCTGTCCAGGGGCACCCCCGGGACCAGACGTAGCGCAGAATGCTGCGATACGGTCCTGCCGGTACGTAGCATCGTCGTGCCGTCGAAACACCGCTGACGAGGTCTTCGCAGAGGGGTTCGCGGGGGCGTGTTCTATTGTTAGAGCAAGCCGCGCTCGTCGTACAGGGACCAAGGTTAGTGTAGTAAGTACGTACGTAGCGTACCGCCCGTTTGACGTACATGTTGTGTTCAGGCGTGTCGAATTGCGCGGCGTGGCCGTCAGTTGTCGCAGTGGTGGAGATCGAGGGGCGGCACGGAGATCATATGGTCACCGAGGGCGCGCTGATGCCTTCGCCCGCGCTCCGATTTCGGGCTACATTCCCGCATCGTTCTCTCGTCGCCTCCTCATCCTTGCATTCCTCTCCTTCAACCATCGCTTGTACTCCGCGCCGGTTCGCTCACCGACCGTCCTCGGTTCGTCCCGGCTCCTGCGTACTCCTGGGGTGCGTCTGGAGAGCGCACGCAGGGTAGTGATGGACGTGTGGGTGCGGTATGGCGTGCGTTGCGGGGGGACGACGGACACCGGACGCGAGAGTTGGCCGTATCCCGGCCCTGAGATGGGCATCCGCCGCGCGAAGAGCGTGCGAACCGGTGTCTGCACGGTGTTCTGTTACTGCTAGACGACCGTAGTTGGTGTTAAGAATGAAGCGGTCATGATGTGCGTGACAACGCACCGTGCAAAGCGTCGTGCCGCGCCACGTCCGGTGCACAAAACCGTGTCGAACGGGCTGGTAGATGATGGTACGAGACTTGAGTACCGGTGTAGTACAGAACGGGGACGTTGTGTGACGTCGCCGAGGCGGGACATGGCTGCCTTCAGGTGACTTGACTGGGTGGCACAGAACACCTCGCCGCGCCATGTCCGGTGCGCGAATTGGTCTCGAGCTGCCTGGTATGGCTTTGCACAAGAGTTGGGTGCGCAGGCCGTGCAAAACGGCAGTGTGTCGCGACGTCGGCGAGGCGGGATATGGCTGGCTTCGGGCGACTTGGCTGGGTGGCACAGAAAATCTCGCCGCGCCGTGTCCGGTGCACGAAACGACGCCGGGCGGGCTGGTATAGCATTGTGAGAGTGTTGAGTACCCGCGCAGTGCCAAACGGCGATGGTCCGCGACATCAGCGAGGCGGGATATGGCTGGCTTCGGGCGACTTGGCTGGGCGGTACAGAATGCCGCGCTGCGCCATGTCCGGTGCGCGAATTGGTCTCGAGCTGCCTTGTATAGCTTTGCGCAAGAGTTGGGTACGCACACCGTGCAGAACGGCGGTATGTCGCGACGTCGGCGAGGCGGGATATGGCTGGCTTCGGGCGACTTGGCTGGGCCGCAGAGAACACGGCGCCGCGCGGCGTCCCGCGCACGGAATGCCTTCGGACAACTTGCAGAGCATCCACGCATGTCCTGTGGATCGTCCCATGTCGTTGCTAGGACGCTCCGATACGCGACGGATGGACCCGAGGGCGGAAGTGGGTCGGGGCGGAGACTTTGGCAGCGTGTTTGTGTCGATGAATGCGCGCGAAGAGGTGCTGAAAACGTAAATGCGACATGCCTGGACCGTTTATGCACCAAACGCACGGCTCATGGGTGTCGGTGGACTCGTCTCGGGCGCGGGCGTCGACTGGTACCGGCGGCGGGGGCGGGCGAGCAGCGGGGAGGGAAGAACGGCGGCGAGAGCGGGGAACAGAGCAGAGACGAGACCGCGGAACGGGCAGTGGATGCGTGCGTCGAGGGCGGAGCATGGGTGCACTGGAAGAGGTCGACTGGAGGCGACGACGGGCAAAAGGCGCGATCGTCGACGCGGCGGCTGCAGCCAATGAGCGGTCTGAGCGAGCGCCTCCGGCGGCCCATGACGCCGCAGCCTGGGCCACGCGTCGCGTCCCAGCCCGAGGGCGTTGACGACGCGGGGCGAGAACAGGTAAGTAGCCAGATCAGGCCTTCAGAAGGAGGAGGTATGTAGCCACCGGCCGCTGCAGTCGCACGCGCGATCATGGGCGGCCCTGGCATTGGGCGTCTAGACGGTGACAGCGTTGCCTCTTTTGGATATGTACTCGAGCGTCTAACCAGTAATCGTTCGGAATTAGTGTGACAATCAGCGACTTCGTGCGATATCCTGCTCGTAGGGATTATGACATCCTGCTCGTAGGGATATGACCTTCTTATGTTTCGACTCACGATTCTTGAATGGCAGTTATGCACTAGGCTGTTTGAGCACCACACGTGCTTGGCCAGGCCCGGGGTGTGCATGAAATGTGCGTGTTGTTCTGCTTCAAGTTCACTGCCTCGACCACTATCCTTCACCTCCGTCACTATCTGCTCATACATGTGCTCTTATGCAGGTCCTTCGACGTTATGTGGCCTGGCATTGCCTCCTCATCCAGGGAATCCAGCATGGCGATTGCTGTGTCATTCAGGATATGACCGATTTCAAGGCTGACCGTCTCGTTGGACTGCGGCGCACGTCTTCGTGCCAGCATCGTAATTGAGCATGGCGTCACGCTAGCCAGATACACGAGTTCAGCTTGCCTCAACCTCCCTTTTCCGCCGAGCATCGTGGCGCGGCTCGGTACTTAAGCCTCCTCCCGAGCCCTGGCAAGGTTCGAGGCATCTGGAACTCTCTTCCTTGAAACTCTCTTCTCTTTGCTATCTCAGGGCGCCCGCAGGACGGCTCTCGACGTCGAGCGAGATGCTCAGCGCGCTTTACCGCATGCTGCAGGCCAGCCCTGCTCCCGATCCCGGACAAGACCGCGCGTCGGCGGACAGTGCCAGAGAAGACACGAATGGCGAGGCGCGTGCGGCGACCAGTGCAGATGATTCTGGTCTCGGGCTGGAGACGATGCGTCTAGAGCGAAGACCGTCCGTCGATGCTAGCGCAGTGATGGACGCTAGGCGACGCGCCCCTTCCCATGTTTCGTGGAAGACACCCAACGTGAATCCGAGTCCCAGTCCCATCTCTGACTCCGTATGGAGTTCGCAGTATGAGAGTCATTCTGCGTCAGCACCATCATTACTGCTGCTGAATCCCGGGTCAGCGACAAAGGCAGCGTCGATTCATCGACACAGTTCGCAGTCCTTGCGCACCCCGTCCATCACAGCCTCAGAAGACTTGTCGAGGCGGAACAGCCCGGAAAAGAGGGAGAACGTCGAACTCTATCCTCCGAGGCATCTCCCAGTGATTGATCCACGTGTGCGGTTCCCCAGCGGAAGGAGGCCGTCGACGGACTCAGTGCCCCCTACGCCGGAATCCACCAGGGTGCATGACGGACGTGAGTCGATAGGACACCCCTTCCACACATCTCTCGCTGACGATGCGCTACAGACCTCGCTGCATATCCAGGAGCGTTCATCAATCGGCCCCTCAATCGTACTACCAGCCAAACGTCGACAAGCACGACCGCCTCTGTGCCCGCTATCCCGCCTCTGGACCTCCGGCCCGACTTCCAAAAGACTATCGGTCCGCCCATTCGCAAGTCGCGTCTCCCGCCGCCGACGCTGCCCACCGTCGTAGGCAGTCCTCATCCGGGAAAGTACTCCGTCATATACGAGGACGGCTCCTCTGCGCGAACCTCGCGAAGCTTCGTCACCGCACCCTCCGTGCATTCTGTTCGCGACGTGTCCACGCCCGAGCCTGGTGGCGACGCACAGCATGCAGAGGAACGCCCAGTGCACGCACGGGATTATGCTATTTCCACCACGTCGAGCGTCGACGTCACGCCTGCAGTGCGGACGAGCGGCCTCCCAGAGGGGCTGTACGACATTGACCTGGGCGAGCCCTCGCACGCCGGAACCAGTACACACGCCGGGAGCACCAGCACGAGTCCGCGGCTCACACAGCCTCTCCTGCCCGCACCTCCCAGCGCCATCCCGCGCCGCCCGCGCTCCATCTCCTCGGGTGGCTCTCGCTCTGAGAGCTACATCTACAACCGCTGGCTCAGGGGCGTCTCCTTCGGGAGTGGCAACTACGAGTTCCACACCCCCCGTGCGTTCTCGCGCAGCCAGAGCCGATCGTACCTCGCAGGGCGGGCGGGGATGACGAGCGCAAGCATCCTTTTCTGGCTGGGCTTCATCGGACCGTGGTGTTGGCTCATCGGCGGGTGGATGCTCACCACGGAAGGCGAACTCGAGCCCGAGTTCAAGCGTGAGATGGACATCAAGCACGGTGCAGACGCGATCCTACCCCAGTGGTTCAGGCATGGCAAGAAGCGTGCGAGGGTGGAGACTTCCTCGTGGCGATTGACTGGCTCGCGGGCGTCGAGTTCGCGGAGGCGATACCCGAGCGGGAGGCTGCTGAGGTGGGATCGGGCGCGGCGACAACAGGCGCTGGAAGGGTACGACGACCGAGGAGAAACTGTGAGTAAGGCCTCTCTCTAGGTTTATAAAGCGCTGGCAGGCCTCTCTCTAGGTGTAGAACGCGCTGGCAGGCCTCTTTCTAGGTGTACAAAGCGCTGGCGGGCCTCTTTCTATGTATACAGGGTACTCGCAGCGCTCTGCCTATAGGAGAAGGCTCGGCATCCGTTCGAACTCGAGGCGCGGGGATCCGTTCAAGCTCAAGGTGCGTCGTTACTCGTATATAGCCTCTCTATGTACAGTACTTCTATTAGCACAGTCCGTCTGCGAGTGCAAACAAGAGGTACATTAAAGCACGCAGCGACGAGCGTTCGAGATCATCTCACGCTAGTCCAGTCATTCCCGCTGTCCTATGCGTCTCGCCGTCTGGTCCACTCACGGAATGGGCTACGTGCCCGAGAAGATCACCCCCGAATGTGCAACATCGAGCTTTCGAGTCCACGGTCCCGTCAGCAAGCATCGCACGAGGCAGACGCAAAACCCACCTACAGCCCATGCGTTCCTGCTCTCGTTTCTCCTGTACTCATCACTCCAAGTCCACTTCCCCCGTAGATATCCCTATGTGTTGCGATCATCTCCGCCTAGCGTGCCGCTTGATGGGAGATACTGCGCTTGCAGCCTACGTTTCCGTCCGCTATTCATACGCGCAACTTCTTGAGTGCGATGGAACCGCACGATCATGATGTCGTGCACCTGCATGATCGCTCTCATCAGCAGCCGGTTCGAGAGGATAAACTCAAGACTTACCTGTCGAGGAGAGAGCACCGCAGTCGACGCAACCGCTCGACTGTCAACCGAGCTGTTGCGCTCATCACCATGTCCCCGTCTCGCCCCGGGCCGCACGTACCCATCTTGAGCTTCGCTGGGCCACTCGTCACACCCCCGCTCTAGCCACACCTCCCGCCCGCATGCCCCGCAAGCCGGCGAAGCATATACGTGACCTTTTCAAGTCGTTCATTTGAGGGAGCGGGCTCCCGCTCGTAATTAAGCCGCGTCTGTAGCTTGGTAAGCAATCAACGTCCTAGAGCTGAATAATCGCAGACTTACCAAACAATGTCGGCGCTTCACTCTTCCGCCGCGAGTCTCTGTAGATGGGCCGATCGACTCGTTTCCTCCTCGCTGGCCGCCACTGTCGTGCGTCCAATCTGTGCTTGCTGTCTGGATTGTGTCTCGGGCGGCACCGGTCACGACCATCGCCATCCGAATGCTGTCAATGATACATGTCGTCGCTGCGTTCTCGATGGGCACCACCACCTGTTCACGCGTCAAGTCAGTAACTGAGCTACCAAATAGAGACAAGGGCCGACCTCCGGACTCGGAGCGGCTATTGCAGCAACGCATTACGCGTGTCCCGCCGTCAAATAGTGACAAGCGGTCAGCTGTCACAGTCTACAAGTTGCTGAGACCGGCCTCGACCAACACGAGACTTCGGATGGCCGATGGTCAGTCCACCGACCGAATACTGCACACAACCACATAAGCTATACATCCTTTTTCATACGCATGCAGTGCTTACCGATCCGCGCGTCGGCAGTGATTTTCCGTGAAGACGAGCGATCCTGTAATGTGGTTGCAAACCCGGTCTAAGCTCTTGACAGGCAATCTGTGACTTGAGCGCGTGTTCGAGCGTGACTCCCTCTCGATCCAGTTTGTGTGCGTTGAAGAATCGGTCATCCAGTTGGGAGCGCGCTCCGCGTCTTACAGTACGTTCTCTGCTTGTCTGCGCAATGAATACTTGCGAAGGTTGAGAGATGCTTCGCTGATGATTTCATCAACAGAGGTTACTTCGCTGCACTACTCGAGTACGTACCTCGCTGTCACAGCTCTGCTGACACGAGCCCTCTCAGGTTCGATGTCCGACGCGCTGGCACCATCAAGCTCTCCCTTGGACCAAGCTTTCCGTCGCTGTCTTCTACCAGACAACGGCTGGATACCGCGCGGCACAGACCGCCTTCGGTTCCGGTCGTGATTGAACGTATCGCAGTGGCTTGAACCAAGCTTTTTGAAATCAATTCAACGGAAATGCTAGAGTTAATGGGGACAGAAACGGTTGGGAACCACAACAAAAAGGACACACCAATGTCTTGAATATGAACGAGCTCTTCGTTCCAGTTGGATCTACCAGATTTAGATAGTTTCTCTTCAAGGCTCGGACTTCATGCGTGAGCACCGTTCTCACACCTCACGCCCTTAAACCTCGTGATGTCTCTCCGATGCACGCCAGTACTGACTGTCTGCGTGCACTGACGCGCCAGCAGATAAGTGTTCTACAACCTCAGTAAGATATACTAGTACTCACTGTGTATGAACAGTTGCATCGACAAGGAGGAGGTTGAACAAATGGGTCGTGGCGTAGGTCAGTAGGGTGAGTGTCAAGACTTAGAGGCTGTACACTGGCAATCACAGAATACACAGATTCAGGACTTACCTAATGACCATGCAGTGTACGTTGCTACTCAATCACAACTGATCGGTTGTCTTCGGTGAATTAGCAATACGTTCAGAACTCCGACCCTGGACGGGTCCATGATCACACTGACTCAGAGAATTTGATCTAAACGAGTAGCCGAGGCTTTGAATTGTATCCAACAAGACTGGCTTGTTGATGCGCGCACTGTCATCTCATTCCAAATCTGGCAGTTCCTCATGTGTCAGCTTCGCTTTCAACTGTGGTCTGGGAGCCACGTCCCAGACTGTAGTGCTCATGGTTCTTGACACAGCCCCTCCAGATTGTCCTATGGACAGCAGACTGTACAGTATTGGGGACATCCTCCATACTATGCAATCTCCTGTTCACAAGCCAAGCCGCCAGGACAACTGATTTCGTAAAGACAGAACCAGTACAATCTCAGATCACACTAGAACAAGTCAACAGAATACATCGGGAACATTGCTACGTACAACTACCACGGTGTACCCTCACCGCAATGGTCCGCGCCTCGGCTTTCCTATTCGCCGATGAGTCGTCGCTCAAGTTCACTATGATACATATTCGCTAGGATACATACTCCGAGGATCTCCGCAAGGAACAGATCCTGCTGCTCAAACGCGTCAGTGCATGCCGCCGGGGGACAGCGAATTCGGATAGGTTTCCGAGGGAACCTACTAGGTTAGGTCAGCGCGCGAGGCCCCAGTGCTGTGATTGGACATAGTACTAAGAGCCACCTTTCAATTCGCCGTTCCGGCAGTGTATTGGCCACCACTTACAAGCCCAGAACTGTTGACTATTACCCAGTGCCACAGCATTGATCCCTCGCAGGACGAGACAGCTGACGAGGGAGATGACAGAGTCTAGGAAACAGTACGGCGCGACGAAGGCTGGCAGCGCGCTGTCAAGCCCGCACGGAGGAGGCCTCGTGATGCTGTCCAAATCGGGCAGCCGGACGCCTTGTGGCGTGCAGTGGCGAGTGACCGCGTTCGCGCGTTGCCCCGAACATCCATCCTCCGCTGCCAATCCCCGCTGCCTCGACGCGTCGCGACACAGTATGACATTCAGAAAACACGAAGACATAAGAAAAGTACTAATTGTCGAATCCGGACGCGCTCTCGATGTCCGACACGCCGCCGCCACCGCCGTCAACCTCCGCTTCACCGTCCTCGATGTCCTCGACCTCCGTCTCATACGCATCAGAGTCGTCGACATACGGCTTGCTTTTCGGACCCATGCGGATCTGTCTTGGCGGCCTTGAGAGCCGAAGCCAGGGAAGCACGCGCTGCTTCCCGTAGTCGCTCCTTGTAGCACGGCGCGGGCGCGGAACATACCACCCGGGAGCAGCTTTCTCGACGGTGAGCACATCGCGTTCTTCACGCGAGAGTCGATCAAAGTGCATAAAACCGCACTGGATGCGACCGCACAGCTGTCGCATAGTGCGAATCCCGCCTGGGACGCGACTGAGATTGGCGAAGGTAAGGTGCTGCGGCCAACCTTCAAGGCGGACACCGTACTTGGTGGCAACGAAGGTGAAAAAATCCTCCGCGTTCCAGCGCATTCGCGCGACTGGGTCGCCGGTGAAAAACTCTGGATTGGTGCGTCGGTCAGACTAGTCCATGATCGGGTATGAGAGTCTGCCAGTACATACGCAGTCTCTCTGTCAACAGTCGGCGTACTTCCCCTCTCTCCTTCGCGAGGCGCGAGCTGTAGGTCACCTTGGGGCTCGCCAGGGGCTTGTGCTTGATCACGAGAATGGGCCGGAGAGGTCGCCGCCGATGGCGGGGTGACTGGGTGAGTAATTTGTGCGTGAGCATGAGGGTGTTCGCGGCGGTCGCTGTGGGGGGAGTACTGCTGCGACGGTGGATGTAAGATTGGCCAGCAGGACAAGGTGCATCTATATGTATCCTGTGAATGCTCAATGCCCGAGATCGAACAGCTTCCAGAGGTGAACCAGTCGGCAAACCAATACCATGCCGACGGTCTGCGTTGCTCGTTCCAGAGCTGCTCACCGCTACTACGTAACATCGACGCGGCGGTTCGGGGCGCTGGAAGCAGCGTACCTGCACGGCGTCTTGCTATTTTTGAGATCGAATGAGTAGCCCCTGGCTTCGCAGCAGACGGTAGATGCTCACCTAAGCCTAGCGCAGCTCCGTAGGCCTATCGTGGCTCGGTCCGGGTCCTCGGCTCAACAACCCTGTGGATGCCGCAGACGCTCTCACTGGCGTGTGCATATCTCTCAATAGGTATGCCCGCTGCCAACGACTATCATGCACTTCCCTTTACGGTACACGTAACTTACGGTGGCACTGGCAGATCACATTATCGCCGCACCGCGCTGTACGGCGTGGAGTGAACTAGACGGATCTGCCGCCAGAAGACTCGGACACTAGTACGGCGAGCCAGTTCCCTGCCGCTCTCGTCTGCATGCTCACAGGCGACGTGTTACCAAGTAGCGACGCCCATGACATCTGCTCGCCCAAGCAGATACAAGCCCCAAGCTTGCCAATCCCTCGAGGGTTCCGTGTAGTCAGAACTCAGGCCGCAGTAGCGATACGTTGGGTAGTATAGGTCGCTTCGTCCCCCGGGCTCCTTCGACTCTCTACTGACACATGGCCGAGCCAATGACACTGCGGGGTGGCGCGATAGTAGTGTCGTTGTCCCATCCAGTACGGCCCGTGTCACGGATGATAATACCATCTGCATACAATTACAAGGGAGGCAGGTGCTCCTAGTCATCATCATGAGCCCGGGTGCGTCGTGCAGTCGTGCCGTAGTAGGAGCCACGTTGGAATGGGATTGCCGTTCAACACATTGAAATGAGCGTAAAGCTATACTTGACCCGATTCGGGTGGTATGTTTCAGGCTCGTCGAGTCCTTCGAAATGACACTTGCAAAGTAGTGCACGTTGAGGGGACCGCTGGCTCGTCCTTGGTACCGTTATCTGTGCCGGTGAATGTCTACGAAACGGTCACCGAGCAAGCTCAAGGCTGGCTTGACCGTGGCGATCATTTTGTGGGCCATCATAACGGCTTAGTATCGACGGCGGTGACTACTGGCGTACGAAGCTGTCCGCACTGTCTAGCAACAGGTTCGCTGCCGCGTACGACTGCAGTATATCCTCATCCCAATGGTTCACGCCTCCGCTGACCTACTATTCGCTGATGCGTTTCGACAGTGGTGATGACATATTCATGGCCATGTTTCGACAAAAGTCTGTTGTGCAGACGATGGTGTGTGCTCAACATTCGCCGCGAACATAGAGCCCTGTGAATATGTACAGGGCTGAGTATAATTACACACTATGCAATCACAATGGAAACGAGGCGGTACACGTCCCAACTGATCCTATTCGCAAACAGTGTGTGTAACATATCGTACATAGCGAGTCTCCGCCGTCGACCGCGGACGCCCAGCTTGGTAACGAATACACAGAAACGTACAGATGCAAACGCATGGCGTGTCCGATGCTTCAATTCGTGCTGCAGATTGTCTGCCATCTGCGAGAGTACAAGGCGAGACCAAGCGAACTCACGGGTCCTGCTGTCTCTGCGCTGGGTCTGCAAATGCCCGTACGGCAATGTAGATGTTATCGTCTTCATCACGCACGACGTACAGACCCGCAATCCACGGCGTGTCGCATGTCCGATCTGTAGTCTCCGAGCTCTTGCTTTTCGAGCCGGCCTGCACGCAAATCGACCTGAGCAGATTCTGCTCATCTCTCGCAATGAGTGGAACCACTCCCAAACACCGTGTACCGGCCGCTATGAATCGCAATCTCGGTAGAGCTGCGATGGCACTGGAACCAGAACGGACGCAATTGCACCCGTAACAACGTCCGTGCATTGTTATGGAACCGACGAACGACTCGAGCGTGCGAACAGTGAGGTACCCGCACGAAACATCGCTTGCCAATCGGCGGTGTTCGTAGCAAGGGCCCCGGCGATGCTCAGACAGGCGGGTCGCACTGCGCCTGACGCTGACAGTCAGCACCGTTTCGAGCCGAATCCTCCATGGTCCTGCAGTGATCGCACGTCAGCGACTTGTGGGGATGTTCAGAAAGCCTCACCAAACGAGTGGGTTATACTCCCCACGAAGTCGGGCGATGATTCGTGCGGTCGTGCAACAGCCGAGCGAAGCGGCGGACGTGACACTCTGGATTGCTGTCTGTGCAAGATACCGTGAGTGGAAATCCGGGCGCGGTGGTGCTTTGTCAGTTGCGTCGGTCGGCCGCACAACACAAGCAGCAGCAAGCGTGCTCCGTCGTGTGCACGCCAGACTCTCCAACTGCAGACAGTTCGGCGCCCTGCATTGCGCGGCCACACAAGGCCACCGAGTTTTACGCGCCGTCATGATTGGTGAACGACCCGCCGCGCCGGATACACCGCTGCCGTCGCATGCGGATATCCAAGTCCGAGTCGCCGCATCCCGCTAGCCTAGGAACATCTTGCGAAAGACACGGACGGCGACCAGGAGAGGCAAACCCCAGCCGAGAGTAGTAGAATGACGGTGCGCTCGGCGACATGAGTCTGAAACTCCATCACGCGAGACCGTATCCACGACGCATTCCTGACGGGCTCGTCTGCAAAACGTGCAGCGCGTTCCTCTGGGGAAGCTCGGGCACCAGAGCACCTATACGGCGCGACGAGACGCAGCTCCAAGAGCCCAGTCTCATCGTGCGGTACCCAGTGCTCTGTCCAGCCCGCTCGTCTCCATCCGACTCGTTGGCCCGCAGCCACGGCGCGCCGCACTCACTGCGCGGAACGTTCTGCGCGCAGAGCAACTCTCGGCACGCGAGTAAATTGCAATGAACCGCCGCGATAGTCGCGCGCCACGCCTTGCTAGGTCAGGGTCCGCTCGGCTAAGCCTCTGCGCGCGTTGCTAGGGCGGGTCCTTCCACCGAGGTAGTCGCCGTCCTTGTCCAAGCGGACAATCAGCATCTGCAAGACGCTGTGATTGGCGTGCGAGGAGGCGCGGAGAAGTATATATGGGCGGGTCTTGGGTGAAGTCCTGCCATGCGTCCTTCCCCCTGTGCCTGCATCTCGTCTGTTCTACTCGCCGTGCCGGTGAAGAGCTTGCGGTGAGCTCGTACCCGTTGTTCGGTGTCGCGGGCTGCTAACGTCTGCGCTGTCTGTTCACCCTGTCATGGTCGTGTTGGACGTCGCCGACCCGACAAGGGCTGGTGAGTGTTTGTGCTGCTCCCCCATGGCCGCGGTTGACGATTGGCGTGGGCTAGTCCTCGCTGCGCAGGCGGGCGCACTGCGCGACGACGAACAGGGGGGAGGGCGGGGAGGATGAAGGCCTCGGTGCGGTCAGTAGCTTCGTTCCACAGCCGTGTACGTGTACTTACCGTGCGGTCTCGCTCCGTCCACGTCTCCAGTCAACTGCCCACTGCGTGCCTCGTCCTCGCTTCGGCCCCGTTCCCGCGTGCTGTCGGACTGTGTCCGCCGAACGCGCGCGCGCGACGAAGGGAACATTACGACGTAACGCTCACGGGACGTGTTGTCGGGCAGTAGCAGGGGGTGTGTGCGTGCGGCGCATCATGACTGAGTTGCGCGGGGGCTACGCGTAATTTGTTGGTGGCCCGGCATTGAGACGGTGCCGACTGGTTGTTGCACGTCTTGAAGCGTGCACGTCGGTGTCTGCCCGGTGTCCTGTTGCTGACGAGAGGTGCTAGAGGGCCATAGGTGGTGATCGACCCATATTCCCTGCGACAACATATGTCGCGCCGCGCCACTCCCGGTGAACGAAACCGTGTCGAGCGGGCTAATATGTAGCATTTTGAGAGTCTTGGGTTCCCGCGTAGTGGCAAACGGCGACGTTCCGCGACGTCGGCGAGGCGGGATATGGCTGCCTTTGGGCGACTTGGCTGGGCGGTACAGAATGCCGCGAACACGCACGGCGCACCGCTGTGTCGGGTGATCGAATCGCAAGCTGTGCGGGCTGCTTTCATGTCGCGCGGCGTGGCAACTTCGACGAGCGCCGCGCACGGACGTCCTGTCGATTAGCGATCCCCGCGCTATGCGAGGGTTGCCAGGGCGGGTATGGGTTGCAACAGTCATGTTGTATCCGTCGACACGACACGACGCGGCTCGTGCGCGGTCGATGGAACGGCTTCGTGGGATCCCGGGCGAAGGACGAGGATAAAAGGGGAGGCCGTGGATGGGCCACTGCAGCTCGACCTGCGTCTTCGTCCCGTCTTGTGCATCGTGAATCCGCCCTACGACGGTAAGTGGGAGCCCGCTTCGTCGCACGACGTGTATTGCTGACACGTTCGCTCTCGAAATGTTGAAGTCGCCGAAGGGCGCGTGCACAACGCGTGGGGAGACGCGACGTGTCGCTCGTCAGCGTAAGTGTCGTCGCGACGCGAATGCAGAATACGTACCGGTTGGCTCCCCGACGTGCCGTACGCTGCGCTGCTGTCCAGGGGCACCCCCGGGACCAGACGTAGCGCAGAATGCTGCGATACGGTCCTGCCGGTACGTAGCATCGTCGTGCCGTCGAAACACCGCTGACGAGGTCTTCGCAGAGGGGTTCGCGGGGGCGTGTTCTATTGTTAGAGCAAGCCGCGCTCGTCGTACAGGACCAAGGTTAGTGTAGTAAGTACGTACGTAGCGTACCGCCCGTTTGACGTACATGTTGTGTTCAGGCGTGTCGAATTGCGCGGCGTGGCCGTCAGTTGTCGCAGTGGTGGAGATCGAGGGGCGGCACGGAGATCGTATGGTCACCGAGGGCGCGCTGATGCCTTCGCCCGCGCTCCGATTTCGGGCTACATTCCCGCATCGTTGTCTCGTCGCCTCCTCATCCTTGCATTCCTCTCCTTCAACCATCGCTTGTACTCCGCGCCGGTTCGTTCAGCGACCGTCCTCGGTTCCCCCCGCTCCTGCGTACTCCTGGGGTGCGTCTGGACAGCGCACGCAGGGTAGTGATGGACGTGTGGGTGCGGTGTGGCGTGCGTTGCGGGGGGACGACGGACACCGGACGCGAGAGTTGGCCGTATTCCGGCCCTGAGATGGGCACCCGCCGCGCGAAGAGCGTGCGAACCGGTGTCTGCACGGTGTTCTGTTACTGAGAGGCTAGACGACCGTAGTTGGTGATTAAGAATGAAGCGGTCATGATGTGCGTGACAACGCACCGTGCAAAGCGTCGTGCCGCGCCACGTCCGGTGCACAAAATCCGTGTCGAACGGGCTGGTAGATGATGGTACGAGACTTGACTACCGGTGTAGTACAGAACGGGGACGTTGTGTGACGTCGCCGAGGCGGGACATGGCTGCCTTCAGGTGACTTGACTGGGTGGCACAGAACACCTCGCCGCGCCATGTCCGGTGCGCGAATTGGTCTCGAGCTGCCTGGTATGGCTTTGCACAAGAGTTGGGTGCGCAGGCCGTGCAAAACGGCAGTGTGTCGCGACGTCGGCGAGGCGGGATATGGCTGGCTTCGGGCGACTTGGCTGGGTGGCACAGAAAACCTCGCCGCGCCGTGTCCGGTGCACGAAACGACGCCGGGCGGGCTGGTATAGCATTTTGAGAGTGTTGAGTACCCACGCAGTGCCAAACGGCGATGGTCCGCGACATCAGCGAGGCGGGATATGGCTGGCTTCGGGCGACTTGGCTGGGCCCCAGAGAACGCGGCGCCGCGCGGCGTCCCGCGCACGGAATGCCTCCGGACAACTTGCAGAACGTCCACGCATGTCCTGTGGATCGTCCCATGTCGTTGCTAGGACGCTCCGATACGCGACGGATGGACCCGAGGGCGGAAGTGGGTCGGGGCGGAGACTTTGGCAGCGTGTTTGTGTCGATGAATGCGCGCGAAGAGGTGCTGAAAACGTAAATGCGACATACGTGGACCGATTATGCACCAAACGCACGGCTCATGGGTGTCGGCGGACTCGTCTCGGGCGCGGGCGTCGACTGGTACCGGCGGCGGGGGCGGGCGAGCAGCGGGGAGGGAAGAACGGCGGCGAGAGCGGGGAACAGAGCAGAGACGAGACCGCGGAACGGGCAGTGGATGCGTGCGTCGAGGGCGGAGCATGGGTGCACTGGAAGAGGTCGACTGGAGGCGACGACGGGCAAAAGGCGCGATCGACGAGCGTCGACGCGGCGGCTGCAGCCAATGAGCGGTCTGAGCGAGCGCCTCCGGCGGCCCATGACGCCGCAGCCTGGGCCACGCGTCGCGTCCCAGCCCGAGGGCGTTGACGACGCGGGGCGAGAACAGGTAAGTAGCCAGATCAGGCCTTCAGAAGGAGGAGGTATGTAGCCACCGGCCGCTGCAGTCGCACGCGCGATCATGGGCGGCCCTGGCATTGGGCGTCTAGACGGTGACAGCGTTGCCTCTTTTGGATATGTACTCGAGCGTCTAACCAGTAATCGTTCGGAATTAGTGTGACAATCAGCGACTTCGTGCGATATCCTGCTCGTAGGGATTATGACATCCTGCTCGTAGGGATATGACCTTCTTATGTTTCGACTCACGATTCTTGAATGGCAGTTATGCACTAGGCTGTTTGAGCACCACACGTGCTTGGCCAGGCCCGGGGTGTGCATGAAATGTGCGTGTTGTTCTGCTTCAAGTTCACTGCCTCGACCACTATCCTTCACCTCCGTCACTATCTGCTCATACATGTGCTCTTATGCAGGTCCTTCGACGTTATGTGGCCTGGCATTGCCTCCTCATCCAGGGAATCCAGCATGGCGATTGCTGTGTCATTCAGGATATGACCGATTTCAAGGCTGACCGTCTCGTTGGACTGCGGCGCACGTCTTCGTGCCAGCATCGTAATTGAGCATGGCGTCACGCTAGCCAGATACACGAGTTCAGCTTGCCTCAACCTCCCTTTTCCGCCGAGCATCGTGGCGCGGCTCGGTACTTAAGCCTCCTCCCGAGCCCTGGCAAGGTTCGAGGCATCTGGAACTCTCTTCCTTGAAACTCTCTTCTCTTTGCTATCTCAGGGCGCCCGCAGGACGGCTCTCGACGTCGAGCGAGATGCTCAGCGCGCTTTACCGCATGCTGCAGGCCAGCCCTGCTCCCGATCCCGGACAAGACCGCGCGTCGGCGGACAGTGCCAGAGAAGACACGAATGGCGAGGCGCGTGCGGCGACCAGTGCAGATGATTCTGGTCTCGGGCTGGAGACGATGCGTCTAGAGCGAAGACCGTCCGTCGATGCTAGCGCAGTGATGGACGCTAGGCGACGCGCCCCTTCCCATGTTTCGTGGAAGACACCCAACGTGAATCCGAGTCCCAGTCCCATCTCTGATTCCGTATGGAGTTCGCAGTATGAAAGTCATTCTGCGTCGGCACCATCATTGCTACTGCTCAATCCTGGGTCAGCGACAAAGGCAGCGTCGATTCATCGACACAGCTCACAGTCCTTGCGCACCCCGTCCATCACAGCCTCAGAAGACTTGTCGAGGCGGAACAGCCCGGAAAAGAGGGAGAACGTCGAACTCTATCCTCCGAGGCATCTCCCAGTGATTGATCCACGTGTGCGGTTCCCCAGCGGAAGGAGGCCGTCGACGGACTCAGTGCCCCCTACGCCGGAATCCACCAGGGTGCATGACGGACGTGAGTCGATAGGACACCCCTTCCACACATCTCTCGTTGACGATGCGCTACAGACCTCGCTGCATATCCAGGAGCGTTCATCAATCGGCCCCTCAATCGTACTACCAGCCAAACGTCGACAAGCACGACCGCCTCTGTGCCCGCTATCCCGCCTCTGGACCTCCGGCCCGACTTCCAAAAGACTATCGGTCCGCCCATTCGCAAGTCGCGTCTCCCGCCGCCGACGCTGCCCACCGTCGTAGGCAGTCCTCATCCGGGAAAGTACTCCGTCATATACGAGGACGGCTCTTCTGCGCGAACCTCGCGAAGCTTCGTCACCGCACCCTCCGTGCATTCTGTTCGCGACGTGTCCACGCCCGAGCCTAGTGGCGACGCACAGCATGCAGAGGAACGCCCAGTGCACGCACGGGATTATGCTATTTCCACCACGTCGAGCGTCGACGTCACGCCTGCAGTGCGGACGAGCGGCCTCCCAGAGGGGCTGTACGACATTGACCTGGGCGAGCCCTCGCACGCCGGAACCAGTACACACGCCGGGAGCACCAGCACGAGTCCGCGGCTCACACAGCCTCTCCTGCCCGCACCTCCCAGCGCCATCCCGCGCCGCCCGCGCTCCATCTCCTCGGGTGGCTCTCGCTCTGAGAGCTACATCTACAACCGCTGGCTCAGGGGCGTCTCCTTCGGGAGTGGCAACTACGAGTTCCACACCCCCCGTGCGTTCTCGCGCAGCCAGAGCCGATCGTACCTCGCAGGGCGGGCGGGGATGACGAGCGCAAGCATCCTTTTCTGGCTGGGCTTCATCGGACCGTGGTGTTGGCTCATCGGCGGGTGGATGCTCACCACGGAAGGCGAACTCGAGCCCGAGTTCAAGCGTGAGATGGACATCAAGCACGGTGCGGACGCGATCTTGCCCCAGTGGTTCAGGCATGGCAAGAAGCGTGCGAGGGTGGAGACTTCCTCGTGGCGATTGACTGGCTCGCGGGCGTCGAGTTTGCGGAGGCGATACCCGAGCGGGAGGCTGCTGAGGTGGGATCGGGCGCGGCGACAACAGGCGCTGGAAGGGTACGACGACCGAGGAGAAACTGTGAGTAAGGCCTCTCTCTAGGTTTATAAAGCGCTGGCAGGCCTCTCTCTAGGTGTAGAAAGCGCTGGCAGGCCTGTTTCTTGGTATACAGGGCACTTGCAGGGCTCTGCGTACACGAGAGCGTGCGGGTTCCATTCGCACTCGAGGCACGGGGATCCGTTCAAGCCCAAGGTGCGTCGTTACTCGTATATAGCTACAGTACACCAATGAAACCCGTTCGTCTACGAGCGCTCTCCACAGCGGCGAGCGTTCGAGATCATCTCACACAGCTGCTGTCATTCCCGCCGTCCTACGCCTCTCGCTATCTCGTCCAGTCACGGAACGGCTGTCTGGACCCTTCACCAAGTGCGGTGTTCCGTTGGGGGCTACGTGCCCAAGAAGATCGCGCGCAAATGTGTAACATCGCACCTACGAGCCTGCGGTCCCGTCAGCAAAGAGTGCACGAGGCAGACGCGAGCTCACCTTCAAGCAGCCGCCGAACGGTCCACGTCCGCACGTATCGCTCCGTTTCCTCCGTAGACGTTCCTGTACATCACGACCGTCTCCGCGTAATGCGCCGCTTGATGCACGATGCTGCGCTTCTCCTCGTAACGTTGAATATCACTTGTTGAACCTGCATGACCACTCTCGTCAACAGCCAATCCAAGAAGGTGGACTCAAGACTCACCTGTCGCCGCATTCAGAGCAACTGCCAATCGAGACGTCCCAGTCTCGCCCGCACGCGCCCATCTCGAGCTTCACATCCTATTGGGCCACCTGTCACGCCTCCACCCTCGCCACGCCGCCCGTCCGTGTGCCCCGCAAGGTGGCCAAAGTGACCTTCGCAAGTCACTCTTACTTGTAATCAAGCCAGCGTGCACCCGCTCGCGCCTGAGCTGCGTCTGTAGCTTGATAAGCAATCAACGTCCTACTGAATAATCGCAGACTTACCGAACCGCCGCGACTCTCTGCAGATGCCGCTCGACCCGCCTTCTTCTCGCTGGCCATCACTGTTGTGCATCCCATCTGTGAGGCTTCCTGTCCGTATTGTGTCTCGGGCGGCATCGGACACAACCATCGCTATCCGAATGTTGTTGATACATGTCGTCGTTGCGTTCTCGATGGGCACCACCACCTATTCGTCAAGTCAGTAACTGAGCTACCAAATGGAGACAAGGACCGACCTCCGGACTCGGAGCGGCTATTGCGGCGACGCGTGTCCCGCCGTCGAATAGTGACAAGCGGTCAGCTGTCACGGTCTACAAGTTGCTGAGACCGGCCTCAACCAACGCGGGACTTCGGATGGCCAGTCCACAGACCGAATACTGCACACAACCACGTAGTAAGCTACACGCCCTTTTTCATTCGCATGCAGTGCTTACCGATCCGCGTGTCGGCAGTGATTTTCTGTGAAGACGAGCGGGGCAGTCCTGTCATGTGGTTGCAAACCCGCTCTGAGCTCTTGACAGGCGATCTGTGACTTGAGCGCGTGTTCGAGCGTGACGTCTCGATCCAGTTTGTGTGCGTTGAAGAAGCGGCCATCCAGTTGGG